GGTAGTGGTGGTGGTGGTGGTGGTGGTGGTGGTGGTGGCGGCGGCGGCGGCGGCGGCGGCCAATGTGGCTCTCCGAGGAGACAGGTACAGTGACGCGAGGCGGTCGCTGACGTTCTGCTCGAGACAGGACAGTTACCACTACGTGTCGTTCTTGGGTGGCAAAAGCGACTCCAGCACCGCGTGGCCCTGCCTTTTGGTGGCCGTTCCAGAAGGTGTAACCGACACCCAAATACAGTTGGTCTTCTTCAGAAAAGCGGGTCTCGCTGAGAGCAGTGATGTCCACCTCGTGATTCACAAGGTCCCGAGCGACCGGGACAGTCCCTTGGTTGCTTTTTGGGTTTTCTAGGCGGGGAGAAACATCCCAGGCTACATGAATAAGCGAATTCACCCTAGAAGTCGGTGGGTTGGGAAGTCGGGGAAGAACGAAGATTTTTCTGCTTCAACCGCGAGTTTTGCCACTATGTATCTGAAAATGCAGTAATTTCCCAGCATTTTTGGGACATTATTTCTAACGTCTTCCCCACGAGCGGCGAGCAGTGCTGTCCTTAAATAGGGCGGTTACGACATCCTAGGTGGCTTCCGAACTCCGTCATTAATCATGGTCTTTTAGTAAAGAATAATCTCCGTTAGTCTTGGCTGCCTAGGGGATTGCATGTCGCTCGCTCCGTGGAGCTTCTGAAGTGGGATGGAGGATGAGGGATGGGAATAGAAGTGGTACTGTTGAGGATGAGACACACAAAACCAGATACCTTCTTATAGCTCAGCCGGCTGTTCGAGATAGCTACTGAGTGTGGCCGCTTGGCATATGCTTTCTTTGGGAAGAGATAGTAAGCGTGAGGTAGCCATCTTTTGTAAATGCGAATGTTGAGATGGATCACCTGACTAGACAGCTATAATTGCCCAAGAACATTAGATTTGGGATCTGAATGTCATAAGGCAACATATGACATAACTGCTACAGATTCACTAAGCCAGCGCAATGTTAACTTCCTCTCAATGAGGTAAAATCCGAATACCTGTACTTGGCTTGAGCAAAAGTTTTCGCGTAATGAACTCTGTGCTGAAACATAATCCGACCACCTGTGCGGGACATGCATCAATTTTTACGGCTTCCATTCCTCCAAGGAGTTCTGTGCTTTGTCCACAATGAAAGTATTACTGCTCCGCTGGCGTTTATACGCTGAAAGGTGGTTCCGTAGGTTTGCATAGTTCTCGTCCTCGAACAAGGCAATTTAATTACTAAATCACACATTGTAATATAATTGACAACCAAATGCTACGACAGTAGCAGGATGTGAGTGCTAAAATAAGAAGACTGTCTTTATGGGACCATTTGAAATTACACCCGTGAAGTAAATTCACTGTAA